ACTGTCTTTAAAAAAAAAAAAAAAAAAGGGATATAACTCAGTGCACAAAGGCCCTGAATTCCAGTACTGGGGAAAAAAAGTATGATACTGTTGGGATAAAATCTGGCTGGCTGTTTTGAAATAAAACAAACACACAAACATATAATTATTATAAGAAATTTAAGAGGAAAGGAAACATGTTTCCTCTCAGAGATATACAGATTTTCATGACAGTATTAACAGTATAAATCAGGAAATAATCCAAATATTCAGCAATAAATGACTATTCATACAATGGAACACTATTCAACAATAAAATGGAGCCAGGGAGATGGCTCAGTGGAATAAGCGCTTCCCTGGCAAGAGCAAGGACCTGAGTTCAATCCCTGGTTCCACCAAAAAAAAAAAATAATAATAATAATAATAATAAAATAAAATGGAGTACTGACATAAACTACAACTCAGACAATAAACAAAAACATTATGCTAAAAGAAAGAAGCCTGTCACAGAAGACTAAACATATGTAACTCATTTATATAAAACATTCAGGGCCAGGGAGATAGCCAAGTGGCATAAGAACCTGTCTGGCAAGCACAAGGTTCTGAGTATGATCCCCAATACCACTAAATAAATAAATAAATAAATGTTCAACTGTGCAGAACATAGGATAGTGACTGGAACGGACAGGATGGAGTAGGGGTTAACAATAGTGGCATGAGAAATCTTTTTAGGTCGATGGGAATATTTTAAAATTGGATTTTATTTATTTATTTATTTTTGTATTTTAGGGAAGGGCCTCCAGGGTGTTCAGAGTCTCACTACTAGATCGGACTCATAGTGATTCTCCTGTTTACAGCCTCCCAGAGAGCTGGGAATATAAGCGTGCACTACCACGTCCAGTCTCAATTGCCAGTCTCAGCATGCCCTGGGGGTGGGGCCAGCACAGCAGGCCCAGGATTGAACCCCTGGCCCCAGTGCCTCCTTGCAGGTGCTTTAATCCACTGAGCTATTTGGCTGGCCCTGTATTTTGCTTTTTAACAGATTTTTTATGTATAATTTTATGTTAAAATTAACTCATTGTAAGTGTATAAATCTATAAGTTTTAGTAAATTTAAAACTTTTTAAAATCCAATTTGAGGGTCAGCCAAATAGCTCAGCGGATTAAAGCACCTGCAAGCAGGTGTAGACGCAGGGGGTTTGATCCCACCCTGCGGTGTTGGGTCTGTCATCCCAGCCTCAGCCCGAACCCTGGGGCGTGCTGAGATTAGACTGGGCACGGTGGCACACATCTGTAAACCCAGAGCCTGGAAGGCTGAAAACAAGAGGATCACTATAAGCCTGATCTGTGTAGTGAGACCCTGTAGATCTTGTACTAAATACATAAAAATAAAAATTTTAAAGTTTTGGGAGGACAACCATTACCCACCATAATAAAGTAATTGAACTTATCCAAGAGATGAAAAGAATTATCTATATTCCATTTCCTATAGGAATTAAAGTGAAATCTTAAAATCCAGAGGCACATTTTTAAAATAGTTATTGTATATATAAATTATAGTTAAATAATCTGTTAACCATACACAATTCGAAGTGTTGAGAGGTAGGAAGAAGAGGGCTTCATCATGCTGATATCTCGCTAAGTGCTGGCATATAGGTCTCACAGAGAAACAAGGATATCTGCCTAGAATATGCTAAGTAAACAGCACATTTTGATGCCATCACACATTATCTCTCTACCACATCCTAAATAATCTACAGAGCCTTTTGGGCAGAGAGCAGGCCCACTACATCTTTTGGGAATGGGGTTGAAAATATTCTGCCTATTCTGAAGACTGAATTAATATAATCCTGTATAACATGTACACCTATCATATAAATCAATACAATGTAACATAATCTTATGTAACTTTCACCTTGATTGTGACAGAGCTTCTTTCCTCATATTTGCACTCACAGCGGAGACAGTACGCTTCTACGTCAGGTCCAAGCACTGGCATGGGATCCACAACATGAAGACAATCGCTGAAAAGGCAAAAAACATGTCGTGTAAGCCTGGCTTGATTTTTTACTTGTATTGGTTAAAACTGCCCTGACATTTAGAGTTATGAACTTACCTGGTAAAAAATATAAGGAACAAATAATAAAGCAAAGAGAACTATTTTCTCTCTATATATCAGCACTGTAAGATTTAACAGTCTCAGAAGCCATGAAGACAAACAGTGTTGTTTATTTTTAAGTTGCTGTTCCCCATGAGGGCTGAATTCAGCTTCTTCATACAGCGGCACAGCCCTAGCCCTTTTAAAAAACTTTTGATTTTCAGTCAAGATCTTGCTAAATTCTTCAGGTTGGGCTCAAACTTTCAATCTTTCTGTCTCAGGCTCCCAGAATGCTAGCATGACAGGTGTGCCACCACATTTAGCTCAAGTTGCAACTGTTAACAGCTACAAATATACCAGGAAAATGGCAATTAGGATAAAAAAAACCACAACAACCCTCTAAACAAATTGAGGGTTTAAAATGACATGGGCATTACTGAATTGAGACTGTCTCTTGTAGTTTAATGTCATTAATGCCACAATGTGGCATATGAATGGCTTACCACTTTTTTTTTTTAATATTTATTTTTATTTATTACATTTATTTATTGTGTGTGTGTGGCCAGCTCAGCCCACCAGGGGGCGGGTCTGGCTGGCATGTGGTGCTGGGGATCGAACCGCGGTCCCTGTGCTTTGCCAAGCTTGTTTCAAGTAGGTGCTTTAGACCACT